AGGACTTATGCAATATATTTGAACATGATTTTTTTCAAAAGCAAGCTTAAAGCACAATATCGACATTTCTTCTAGACACTTGCATAGTTAAAAAATTGAGCAACTAATCTTTGAAAAGAAGCACAAAGTCCATCTATGAAATTGTTGAGATTTGAAATATTTCTCGAACTCATTAAAAGATATTGTTGTTTGCATAATGATGCGATCCAAGTTTTTACCTAAATTATGTTTATCAACTCGAGTATTGTCCGTTCATCTCAAAATTTTATAAATTAAAATAAAAGGCTACTTGTTAGTTAACTTATTTCTACCCTTAAATGCAAAAAAAAATTGAAAAATCTATGAAAAATACAATCATTGTTGAAATTAACCATCAATAATTAATCGAGAAGAAAATTTAGATCTCTCATTCATTTAGCTAAATTTTTAAATTTTTTTTTAGATTAAAATACCAAATAATATTTATAAGTATTTCTATCAATTACTTAAATAATTAATTTTATGAAGTACTAATTTAAATATTTTCAAAAATTATACTTCCCCTTTCAAATCTCTAACTAAACATTATAATTTAATTTTTTAAATAATTGAAAAGGGCTTATTCTAATAGTTATACTTAACAATTTACCAAAATAAACTTAAAAAGTATAATAATATAATCTATTTTTATGAACTCTTTCAAATGAAAAAGATATTATTTAAGTTTTTTTTTTTGTTAAACATTACATAGAATTTACTTTAATACATTAACAATGTCATCTAATGATAATTAATTTTTATAATAATTAATATAAAAAATGTATTCAAAATATATTTTAATTGGTATACTAAATTTAAAATCTTTTATTTACAATATTTATTTATTCTAACTAATGTTTCTATCTCTCTATTCGAATAAAGAAATCAAGAGCAGCAGCATAGACAGTTAGTTCCTCCACGAATTAACCTCTAAAAGTCTACAGCCATTCTCTCACATTTGATTTGGATTTTCGGACAAACGGAACATGCCATTCTCTAGAGTATGCTCTCTCCCTCACTGTTCTCAAGTTTCCCCTTTTCTTCTTTGTAAAACTGCAAAGCTTCACAGTCACTCTTCGCCTCCATTTGTTTACAATGTTGATGATGCTGTTGCCTCATTCAATTGCATGCTCACCCTGCGTCCTTCTCCACCCATCGTTGAATTCATCCAGATTTTGGGATCCCTTGTTAAGATTAAGCATTTCCACACTGCTATTTCACTTTTACAACAATTGGGATTCGAAGGAATTGAGCAACACATTTATACTTTTATCATTCTCATCAATTGTTTCAGCCAACTGCGACCTTATCTTTTTCGGTATTGGCCAAGATCTTCAGAGTTATCAGCAAAATATTGACCACACTCATGAATGGTCTCTGTCTTCACGGTAACGTTAGAAATGCAGCACGGTAACGTTAGAAAAGCACTGCATTCTCATGACATGGTGGTAGCACATTACCGGAAGTTGATCAATGGATTATATAAAGTGGGAGAAACAAGAGCTGCCGTAAAGTTGCTGAGACAGCTTGAAGGGCAGTTGATTCAGCTTCACGCGGTAATGTACAGTGCAATCATTCATAGCCTGTGCAAAGATAAATTTGCAAACGAGGCATGTGGTTTTTTTTAATTGTCAAGGAATTTATCCTCTGTCACATAGTCTAATATATGGCTTTTTGCTGCTGGGTCAGTCAAAGGAGCAGTTGGTTTTTTCAATGAAATGGTATGTAAAAGCATCCACCCAAATGTTTATATACCTATAACATATTGGTCGATGCACTGTGTAAGGAAGGAAAAAAGAGGCGCTATAAATGTGTTAGCTGCGATGATAAAAGGTTTGAAAGTTAGTGCTGTTACTTATAATACTTTAATGGGCCTGCTGCTTTGTTAATGGAGTAAAGAATGCAAAACATGTATTCAACAACATGATCCGAAATGGAGTAACCCTTGATGTACAAAGCTACAACATATTGATTAATGAATTATGCAAGACTAAAAAGGCGCATGAAGCCATAAATCTCTTTGAAGACATGCGTCGCAAAAGTATGGTTCCAACTGTAATAACTTAAAAACTCTTGTTGATGGTTTGTGCAAATTAGGGAAAATATCTTATGTTTGAGAGAGCTCATTGATGAGATGCATGATATGGGTCAAAGTGCAGTATAATTACCTACGATTCCTTAATAGACACGTTATTCAAAAACCATCATTTAGATAGGCAATTACATTATTCAACAAAGTTTTAGACAAAGCATTCATCCAAATGCGACACGATACTTATTTATGGACTACGCAAAGGCAGAAGACTTAAGGATGCAAGGTTTTTGAGGATCTTTTGGTTAAAGGCTGTCATCTATCTGCCCCAATGTATAATACTATGATCAATGGGCTTTGTAAGGAGGGCTTGTTTGATGAAGCTTTAGCCTTGCGGTCAAATATGGAAGACAATGGTTACAGCCCTAATGCTATAACTTATGAAATAATTATCTGTGCTTTGTTTGAAAGAAATGAAAATAATACAGCCCGAGAAACTTCTTTGTGAAATGATTGCTAGAGGTTTCTCGTAAGTAAATGCTTTAGATCTATGACAGACTCTCAATTTGCAGCCTTTTACTTTCACACTGAGATAGAGACTCCTAAATAGTAATTATGGATTGGCCTTGCTAACTTAGTAAGTTTTTTATTTTTAGCTGATTGTTATATTCTCATTTTCAGAAAAGATGTGTGTACAAGGAAGCATCGGTTCTGCTTTTTTTTTTTTTTGTTAACTGTGGCTTAATTTTGTATTAATAGTGATGATTTGTCTCCTATGCCTCATATAATATTGGAATTAGTTGCCATTTGATTGAACTTAAACATGCAAAATTGTCAAATAAGATGATGCTACATATGTGAGAATTATTAGTATTTGCTTTGGTAACAAGATTGCAAAAGACATGCATGTTTTAGAAATGACAAACTGGTGCCTACTTAGGGCTTTTCATTTTATTATCCATTTAATTAATTACTTTTCTCATTAGATTACCAATATTCTGGATTTGTATTTTACAAATTTGTCTAATTTTATGTTCAGAAAAGTAGACAATTTGTCTGCAACGTTTCTTTTGACCTCTGGTATCACAACATTGGGGTATAACCCTTCTTTATGTATTATCAGTGTAAACTAGAATGAGAAAATCATTTGAGCCTTGTTTAGTTGTGCAGAATTATATAATGTTGCTTATGTATATCTACTACTTTGTACTTTGTCTTATTGTTCCTGTAGGAATATATATTCTCTTGTGGCATTCATCTTCGTTGTATATTATTTGATGTCTATAATCATTACTCCACTTGATTACGAGTCTTATAAGTGAATTGTTTGATCCTAAATAGCTGAATGAACTTTTAAATTCTTATACAGATGCTAATTTTGAATACAGGGCCATATGTTTATTGTAATGTGATAAATCAAATGGTATATTGAATGATAGTTTTTTTATTAAGTTTTAGTCTAAACTAATTGTAATTGTTTTACACAAATTGTACTTATTTATGTGTAATCATATTAGCTACTTTATTTGCATTCATATTCATCATTGTAATCAGTTTTGGCTCATTTCTCTAAGTGTAGTTATTCCAGGTACTAATTTTCTTTTTTAATACTTGTCCTCAATTTATTTCCTTCTTTTGGGAGAATTCTATTTACTATTACTCAACCTTTAAACGTACTTTATGATGGTAGACGTTCTCTGTCTCATACAATATTGGTAAACTATTTGTAATTGTGCAAAGTTGAAAGCATCATTGAACACCTTTTTTTTTTAATTGCAAGATTAAAGCACAATATTAGCATTTGTCTCTAAGGTCTTGTCTTTGAAAGCAAGGACCAATAGAAATGTTTCTTAAAGTCATTGAGAGGTGTATAGGAAATCTATTCGCAGAATGATGATATCAGAATTCTTAAAATCTCTGATATTTAAGATCAAACTTGTTAGTGAAGTGTGTAGGTAAATTGTTGTTTATTAACTTGAGCTCTGCCCCTTCATCTCAAGGTTTTGCAAATTAAAGTAAAAAGCTACTGGTTAATTTTCTTCCACCATTAAGTGTAAGAACTTTGAAAAAGCCACTGAAATACGATCGTAGTTGAAATTAACCATTAATGGTTAATTGAGAAGGGAATGGATCTCGTCTATTTATCTATGAATTTGTTGAATTTGAAATCTCTCTTAACCACACTAAGGAAAATCTATTGCTAGCAGAACGATGAAATGAGTTTATAAAAGGACGAAACTTATGTGTTGTTTCTTATATGTTGTGTACATAATAAAATTGAAGGTGTTTTAATAATAAATTTGTTTTTTATTAGTAAATAGTACGAGTAACACTTCATGAACTGCATTTAAGTTTTGTCTTTGATATAATTGATATTTAAGATCAAACTTGTTTATGTTTATACTTAAATTTGTTTATGAACTCAAGTATTGCTCCTTCATCTCATGGTTTTGCAGATTAAAGTAATAGACTAATTATTATTGAAAGATTCTATCTATTTAGCTTAAATTTTAAATTTCTTATTTTAAGATAAACAAATGTTATAAGATTAAAATACCGAAGAATTTTTTAAAATCTTTTTACAAAACACCTAAACAGATAATTTCATTAAGTGCTAATTTAAATAATCCTACAAAATTACTGTTCCTTCAATATCTATACCAAAACACAACATAATTGACTTTTTCTTAGCATCTTAAGTGTGTAAATGTATAATATACTGTTTATTGTTAAATATCTTGTTTTGTATGTGTTTTAATGGTGTGTTTGCAAGCATTTATCTCCATAGGAAGTCTGTTGAAGCTTAGGCTTTGTTTACAATCTGAGACAAAAATATAGTTACAATACCCCCAAGCTTTGAAACAAATAAAAGTTACATCAATATAGCACATCAAATCTGCATTTAGATATGTACATAAGTATACTAAAATACAAATTCATATGCGATCAAATAACTTTTGAATATCTCTAATGGTTGTTTTTATGTGACATTTCTGAAGGTGACCCCTCCTTGAAAAAGTTATAAAAAAAAGCTTGAACTAAATACAAAAATTCATTTCAACCACCTTGAGGAAGGAACCAAAGAAAAAAAGGAAAACGCTTTACAGCAATAAAAGAATAAATACAAAATATGTTGTTCTAAATTTAACCAGCTTACACAACTTACAAGTTACGCTGCGCTCGTTTACTCTGAAATAGTCATATATACAGCTATCATGAGTATAGGAAACCCTCTTGTGTCAACCCCCGTAGGTAGAAAAATAAAAAATACAGTAGTTAGTTATCCACTAACTGTTGTTACCAAAAACACCTATACTTGATGCAACTGATTTCAGTTTGCTCTGAGCTGCGGTGTCCGAGCTGAGACCTCGTCGAATCATCCTTTGCTTCCTCATAATCTCATTACATGAGGCAAAGAATTCGTGCCTTAGAACATCTTCGACACTGATCCTATTTCTTGGGTTTACTGTTAGACATTTGTCTATTAAATCAAATAATGATTTCGGGATGTGTTCATGAAACTCTGGCCTCTTCGTGTGAACCTTGCACCAGCTTTCTATGTCCCATGACTGTAAGTACCGGTCATCAAGTAACTCCTGCAATCCAATGAATATTAACAAGGATGACTAATAGGCAAACATTAATCATTTTGATTCATTTACAATATTGAAAAACAAGAGCTGCTTTTCTTTACAGTAACATGAGATCAGTGCGAAAAATTTAGAATCATAATTGCAGTTGATTGCAAACTAGGTAAAAACCAAAACGAAGTTTGCGCAGGCACCATCTTCAAATATTATCCAAATGTCAGTATAATTAATTCATGGACCATTTATTTACCAGTAAACATTAACCTGAATTTGTAAAGTTTAAAGAAAAACCTCAAGCGAGACGCACTCACACTGATAAAAGAATTTAATAGTGCTAGAAATCTCAAAAACAAAATCATCTATAAATACATTTTCGCATAAACTTAATAAAATAATAAAATATAAGGATTAAAAGGAATTACCACTGGAAAAGATAATTCACGGTCATGTAGTTTGGCCACTTCCCAAAGCTCTTCACTGCCCCGCAATTTAGCAATTTCTTTTATATTCCTACAACAAAACTCAGTCAGCATAGAAGACAGAAAGATAAAATCACAAATTAAAATTTGCAGGTGATTTTACTGTTCTGGGTCGCCAGTGAAAGGAGTCTTTCCGATCATCAAGTACAGTAGAGTGACTCCAGCCGACCAAATATCAACCTTGCTTCCCTGAAATTGAGACCTAAACAAAACCTGAAGAAACAATAATTAGATAGTACGATTACATCTCTAAGTGACTACTTTAGATGTTGCATTTTGAAGGTGTAATATCCAATTCAGTAAAGACAGGAAAGGTATCCTGCCAAAGCCAAATTCTCATAACTATCTCAGCAATCAGCAGATAAGCAGAATTTCACCCCAACAAATGGAAATTTGGGATACTGGAACTTATACTGCTGAATCGAGGAAACTACCTGACAGCAGCAATTTGATATTTAAGCTATCTGATTATTATTCTAATGAACCGTAATTGGGTTAAGGAGAAACAAGGTATCCTTAGGTACGCAAAATGATTTCTTTTCGGGTAGGCAAATGCTTCACGTTTTAAACTTATTGGCAGTATAATTCGCCATTCCAAGTGCTAAATTGTAGCTTATTTTTCTCTTGTTTTACAAGCATATGAAAGTAGCACTCCCTAAGTCAATATTCGGTATAGATAGTATTTTTATCTGTATCAACATAAATTGGACCTACTATTGTTTGAAAATAGAAGTGAAAAGAAGTGACAACAAGATCCTACCTCTGGCGCCCGGAATCCCTTGGTTCCAACACATGAACCTTCTCTTTTATGTTTTCCATCTCCTAGATAACATATTGGCAGTTAGCATGCTAAGCCGTTTAGTTTAGGAAAGAAACAAGAAAGTGATGAAATAAGGAGTAGATTAAGGTAGCAATGCAACTCCCCAAAACTCAAGTATTGCAATTAGAATCACACCTTTGCTTCTCAATAAACCTGCAGCAACAGTGGTTGAATGTAGAGGCATTGGGGTGAGATAAAAAATCTTGCCATCTACCTTGCCTGACGGAGCAGTGACCCTTTTCCTATGAGAAGAAGGACCTTTTATTGAACTGTTATTTGCACATTGCATAGAATTCTTCACAAGGCTGATAAGCTCCTTTCTTCCTCGGAAAGGTATGGGTTCTCTGAGCCTCTCTGCAGAAGCAGTTCTAGTGCTAGTAACATCTTTGGCAGAGGTTATACCCGAGCCATCTGTTCCTTGTGCTCTAAGTAAACTCCCAGCAGCCTTATCAGGACAATTTTTCAGAGAACCGGCATAAGCCTTTTGCTTCACATGCCTATTAAGTTCAGAATAATTCTTATAATCTGCCAGCACCCTTTTATTAGATGTTAAACACTTGCTTCCACCAAGTTTCTTGTCTTGGACCAGTGGAGAAGTACCAGAAGAGAGGGGAACATTACTGAACGTATCAAGGATTGGTTTTGATTTACCTGAATAAATGCACAAATTGACTAAATTAATTAACCAGATTATATTATGAAGATCACTGACTAAGGGATTTTTGAAGGAAATCAATATAATTCATGTAGAAGCAAGAAAGATATCTTTTTCTTTTGTTCTAAGATGCTGTCCTATCACTTGAGATTAATTACCCAAGTATCCAAAGGGGCGCCTAGTCTTATTTTATGAAAAGTACAGGCAAGAAAAAAAGAAAAGATTCAGCAAGTTTTTTCAATTCTCGAAGTCAAAAGAATAAGCAAGAGATAGTGAACATGAGCTTACTTCCAATGTTGTACTTCTGCTTCAAATCCTGGAAAGAAAATATCATAATTCATCAGATTATTTTTAGATTAAATGATCAGCAAAAAGTAGCTCCAAGAGAAGCAAGCTAACCATGGCAAGGTTAAAATCAATAAGATAGCCTTTGTTTAGCTTTCGAGAGAAAAGGAAGTTTCCAGGTTTAACATCTCTGTGAACCACTCCCTACATTGAATAGAATTTCAATTTCTCAAAACAATTGCATATACTGTCTTAAGTCAAAGTCATATGAGATTCTGAATATGCAAAGGGGAAAATACCTCCTTGTGCAGGGAAGCAAGGGCCCTGAACATGCAATACCCATACCACTGAAGCTGAACTATATCAATTTCTTTTTTCAAAACCTACAGATCCAGAAGGGAAAATGATCTCCATTAAACATGAATGTAGAGCAGGTTAGAGTATTATCATGAACATATAAAATTAAAATCATTTAATTTAAATAAGAAGAATATCTCAGGAAAGGTTTATCCATTTCCTGCATATACTAATTTCTTTTTTCCAAAACCTAACAATCAAGAAGTAAAAATAGGTCCGTTAAAGAGGAATTCTGATATAGGACTTTATATAGTGTTGTTTTGTTAATTCTGTTATTGTTATTAGAGTTGTCGTTCAGTTAAGTCCGTTGTCGTTAATTTTGTTGTCATATTGAAAACGGTTAATAATGAATAGCTATAAACAGAAAAGAGGAAGGCTGAGAGGGATTATTCAAATTCATTGTTAACATTCTCAATTCTTTCTTAATCCAATACAATTTTTTTCAATTTTATTCTTTCATTGGATTCCCTAGTTCCTACAGTTCTTTGAGTAATTCTTCTCCTAGAATTGTTAATAACAAATTCCAAACTCCAAAGAATGTTTAGAGATCTTCTCCTGAGCTAATCGGTTAAAATTTGGGAAATGATAAACGGGAAATTCATCCCCTGAACTCAACTCGTTGATTAAATAAAAATGTTTAAATGTCTGAAACCGAAAACAGCTATTTTTCCTGATGAAGAAAATATATATTTTAAATGGGTTCAACAATTACCTCAGGTCTGTCGTGCTCAACATGTTCTAAAACAAAGCAGTCACTGTTGCCATTTTTGAAAGAACCTTCAATCTTTATTATGAAGTTCTTACCTCTGCATCATGACAAAAAAATACACATATTGACATTTGACAATAGCAGGACGCGTTGCAGCTTAAATAAACAAATATTGAATCATATGTCATATACTTACCCAAAACGCTCGAGCATATTCCGCTCATTATTTACGTGGTTTTTATGAGCATTATTATGAGGACCTGTAAAATGGCATGTATATGTTGTAGCATCAATATCAATTTCTCAAAAATCACTACGCTGATCATATAGTAATTAGTAATATAAAAATAAAAACGATTACATACAAAGAATCGTTTTCAGTTTCTGTTATAAGATGGAAACTGAACGCAAGTAAAAACTGGATATTTGTTCTTGACGATAAATAGGTAGCACCAATTTGTAGTGGAGGACACTGCCCCTTTTTCCCCTTTTGTTAAATCGCAACACTAAATATACAGCTAAAAATTAATATAAAAGATAGATGTTACTTACATTTTATTGCAACTCTTTTTCCATCAGTAGTTCTTTGAGCACGGTAAACGGTACCATAACCACCTAAATGAAAAAAATGAGCGATGTCAATGCAATTTAAATAGAATTTTTTTTTTGTCAGTAAGGAAATGAAGTAGAGTCCTAATACCTGAACCTTCTTCTTCCTCTATTGTAAAAGTTTCAAAAGATGGATATACTTTTTTCTCCACCTAAATCAACAAAATAACCAAAATGGTTAATGTGAATAGTGAACACATAAATTATACATCTTAGGCAAACAGGACAAATGATCCTAAAACATCTTCAAAAGCACAGGTTATTCCAAACTATAGCTCTTAGTGTAAACAGCTCACCTTGGGAGTCGTGGAAACACTTCCTGCCATGTTTTCTTTACGATTTTGCTTCCTCGTAATAAGTTTCTGATCATTTTTACATCGATCAACATTTTTGGGAACATTATCAAATTTATTGCAGGCTAGTGACTCTTTGAGAATTTGTGACTTCGGGTGCAGATCATTCTTCTGCCCTCCCTTTAGTATGCTGGAAGATTTTAAAAGCTGCTTTGGACTTGCAGTGGACTGAGCTGATTTATAAGTAGACTTAGTGTTTCTCCCACTCTTATTTTTTTCCAAGTTTATTTCATGGATAAGGTTTGTTTGTTCCGAACCATTAGTCAATTCTTCTCCACGTGGAATAGGATTGACCATCTGAGCAACATCTTCCTTATCTCTATTTGTGTCAGAACCAATCAGCCCTTTCTTTGAACCAATTTCCATTTTGTCATCTTCATTGGATTCTCTTCTTGGATCTTTGTATGTATTACTTTTACATAAACCATCCACGTCCACAGAATGGATAATGTCCTGTTCAGGATATCCATGCCTAAATGTGTCAAAGTAATCCATTTTCTTCCAGAACTCAATGCTACCAACACCACCACCATGGCATAACGAGGTATCTTGGAAACAAGTTGGCAGAGCAAGGTTCACAAAGAGATTACATTCCTTGAATCTATCTATGCTCGCTAGCTTCCAACAATTTATGGCACTTCCAGTCATGAACAAACTATCACTAGCTTTAGTCACAGATCTAGAAACCTCTCCATGAGACATACTAGTGCTGGCATCATTATTAGCTTCCCTATGTTTAAAATTTGGCACTGAACAACCTGAACACTCTCCATTCGTATCAATAGATTCAATACGCAAGGGGAATACAAAATTCCCTCTACTTATATTCGGTGGTTCAAATTTTATGGCAGGGAAATTTCTTCTCATCACAGCCTTTACAGTATCAGGAAAACTCTGCATCACAAAGAAAAAGTCCCAAAATTCGGTACCATATTCAGCACAAAATACAATCATAGACAAAGAAAAGATATATATCACTCTATGAAGCTGATTAAGAGGGTGTGTTTTTAAGCCCTGATAAAACAAGCGTTTTATAATGTACTTTATCCTTATAAGTTACTTAAGATAACCTACGAGGAAAGCACTAAAACGTGTTTTTTTTTTTTTTTAGTTTTTGCTTTTAAAAAACTACAGTAATCTTCTCTAATTATTATAAAATTTAATCATGTTTTTAATTGAGAAAGTTTTTTCTTTAAAGATGCTCAAACAGACTGACCGTAAAGGCATAATGAAATGAAAGGCAACCAAATTATACACTCAAAAACCCGATGTGCCCGTTGCTTTACCGTTTTCAAAGATCAATATTCCCACTTCTCAATTTCGTTTATCGATTCAAAATTAATTTGTAAAATTAATTTTCACAACAAAATTAATTTGTAAAATTAATTTAAACAAAATTAATTATAGTAAATTTCAAAACAAACAGACCTCATAATAAACAGTTAAAAACAATTGATTGTATTTCTATAATTTTAACTCCTACTATAATGCACCCTAACTGCAAGATAATGAAATTCACTCACTATCAAATATCAAAAGTACATAGCAGCTTATCAAATTCAATAAAAATGTATCATTAAATAACTGTGTTTCACTATGCATTAAAATTACTTTCTAAACATTATCATTCAAACAAGCATCCCGTGCATGCCTGTGATGAAAGGAAAGGCAACCAAATTATACCCTCAGAAATTAATTACGAATAATAACCATAATCATTCCTATCCAAATGGTTGTAACTCTATATTTTTTCACCAGACTATATAAAATAAAAAATAAAAAATTGCATCCTAAATTTAAGAAAAGGCAATCCATGCTTAATCAAGCTACTGGCGCTGTCACATATCAAAGGCACACTAACTACTCACAAGCCAATCAAATTCATCAGCAAACACGGTTACGATTTCACATTCATATAACCTTTTCATTAGGCAAATAAAAATAAAAAAGGAATACCTGAAAAGAAACTTCTTGAACTCCACTACTAATTGCTAATCTCTTGTAAGCTCTTCCATCTGCTTTTACCAAAATATCGAATCAAATCATCGGAACACAAAATAAAATTCAAATTCAAATTCAATTTCAAGATAACCTTCGGCGGTTGAGAAAAGCAATTTGCGTTTTCTGAAACAGTGCGTTTGCGAACGAGGGAAATGGAGAGAGAAGAAACTTCCGAGAGCGAAAACGGCGTTTACGGAGGGGGTGACGAGTCCGTTATCGGTAACAGAGAGAGGAGAACCGGTGAGAGAGGTGACGTGGCAGATGAAATCCGGTGAAGCTGTGAATAAACGACATTGAGATGCGAGGTTTTGAGGGTAAACGGCGTGGCCGATTCGAAGCAGAAGCGCTAGGAGGTGCCACGCTTTCTCTTCGAGTTCGAGACTGGTTTCGAATTCGGACCAGGGATTAGCCATGGCTGGCTCGCAATTTGGATCTGCAAGACTGCAACTAGGTTTTAGAGAGAGAGAGAGAGAGAGAGAGAGAGAGAGAGAGAGAGAGTGGAGCGGGAAATGGAGTGAGAATCGTTTTGGATTTTGGAGCGTTTTGAGCTTTGGGGGGTTTTCCCGCTTCTTCTTTTTTTTTTTTCTTTTGTTTTCTTTTTTAATTTTGATGGGCTTTCGGGCTTGCTCCCTTGTCTTGTCTAGGCCCACACTTATGTTTCTTGTGTACCCAAACAAAAGGAGCGTTTCTTGTACACTACAGGTTGTCATACCTGTACGTTGAATAGGTTTATTGTAATTTAAAAAAAAAAAATTTAAATATATAAAACAAAATTATTGCATAGTAGAAAATTAAAATGTCAGAAAAATGAGAAATTTGAATATAATGATTGAGATCAAAGCATCACCACTCATGATTTTGTTGAAAATACAAAACTCTTCTTTATGTTAACAATTAATATTTCACTCTTATTGTCTAGATAGTTAAATGAGTAGTTTATGTATGAGAGATTAGTTTGTGTTTAATTATAAAAATTATAAAATTTTATTATATGAAATAAATATATGAAAAGAGGATAATAATTGTAAATTTTAATGTGTTTTATAAATATTTTATCCATGTTTAAAATTTTTTTAAAATTTTAAATTTTTTTCATAATAAAAATAAATATTTGTTCCTTTTCAAAAAAAATTGTTAAATTTTCAATAAAAATTATTTTTTCACGTGTATCTCATTATTTTTCTTTCTCAATTGATTTTTACAAATTTAAATTTTGTATATGTGTATTGATTATAGAATTTTTTACTCTTATTAAATACTATTAATTAGTAAATATATTAGTATAAAAATATTATATATTTAGATATATGTAAAATTTGAAAATAAGAATTATACTATCATATATATTATATAGATAGATAAATAGGGAAGTGTATTATGTGAGAATATTTATTCAAAATGAGAACACTTAATTATAGTCATTAAATTTGAATAAAATATTGAGATTAGTTTTTGGAATAAAAATCTTCACATCATATATCATCGTTCACCTTGCAAATTGCGCCTGTTATCACCGCTTACACCCTTTTTCGTAGTCATAACAAGACATGGTACATTATTCATCCTTATACTCCAATCAATGTATCATAATCCGTCATCTCATCCTTATTATATTTCGTTCTATAAAGTTTATAATTCATGTTGAAAGCATATATGCTTTTTGAAAAAATAATTTGCGTGAGAGTATAATAATAATTATCACTAAACTTAGTTTAGAGAAATTTGCATAAAAAGTAAATAAATTTTTTCTCATAAATTAAAAATAAAATAGATAAACTCGTTCGTTTAACTTTTTTAAAAACCCAAAAAATAAGATATTTTTAATTTTAAAAAAAATGTCTATTTTATATTAATTTGATATAAAAAATTCAATGAAAATGTACTTAAATTAGTCTTTAACGTAATTTTTTGAATTATTTAATCGGTAAGAATGTAGGCAAGCATTGATATATCACGTGAAAATTTAATCCAAAAACTCTCGACCATTGCTTAAATTTAATGGCTATAATTAAATCGTTTTATTTATCATTTTAAAAGGTTTTGTTATATGATACACGCCCTATATCTATGTGTAACTAAAAGAGTGTGACTTCATGAAGTAATCATACAATGATAACAGTGTAATTGACAATATATCAAAATCTTTTTTATTTAAAAAATAAAATATATTAAATAAAACAAATACCTTTTACATTTATATTTAGATTAAAAATAAATTAATTATTGAAAAACTAGTATGTATTATTGAATATTTTAAGATTTAGGATAACATTGACGTAAGTCACTCCACTTATTAATTTTTTTAATATTTAATTTCCTCAGTCCAACCATTGAATAAAATTATATATATATATATATATATATATATTTAATAGTGTTTTAAAAATGTATATTAAACTTTGAAATAATATTTCTTAACAAATAATTTTAAAAATATTTCATAATTTGATTAACAATATTTAATATTAATAAATATTATTATGTAAAATAACTCTCGTTAGAATCACTACTCATCCAAGTTAAACTTATTTTGAAGCAACTTGATACTTGTTATATATATATATATATCATTTTATATTTTAAATCTTTTATTTTTTATTATTAAATATTTTATAATTTTAATAATTAAATTATATCAAATCAATTTTTAGATACTAAATGAATATTTTAAATTTTTCTAATAAGTCAATGTTTTTCTATTAAATATATGTTCAATATAAATAAAATTATTAAATATTATTAATAATACAATATTAATGATTATATATGAGGCAAGATTTTTTCATATTAGTATTAGTTTAAAAACTCTTACATTCAATTTAAATTTTTTATTTGAGTTTTTAAACTTACACTAGGATAAGAAGATATTTTTTTTATATTATATATATATATATATATATTATTTAGAGTTCTTTTTTTATATATTTTGTTAATTTTTTATTAATTTTATAGATATGTTTCTTAATCTTATATATTTTTTAATATTTAGGATTTATAAATAATTTAATATTTTATTTTAAGTATTTTTATTAAATATAAACTTAGCATAGATAAAAAAAATTCAATTTTATAAATAATAAAATATAAATATTAAATATCTTAAAATCCGTACATTGTATTGGTACGGAATATTCTTGTTATTAATTATTAGTATTCATAATTCAACGGGAAGCACAACTGAAGATTTCTCTGTTGCTTGCACATAGCTTCATCTCAAGTTTTACCCTAAATCTTCTTGCTCTGAGCTCTCTTTCAGGCAATAAATTAGGTGGGGGTATAAATTCCATTCAATTTATTCATCCCGTGGAATTTTAAGAGCATATTCTATTTCAAAGTTTAAACCGTTTAAAATTGATCGTCCATATTTATTTGTGCTTGGATTTGAAGCTACACTACACTAATGTGTCAAATACGTTTCCTAGCATCTTGACCATGCCAGAACCTATATATTCCTTGTGTGTCAGAAAGTTCTTAGAAAACCCTTTTCTCTAATATAAAGTTCTTGCATGTTTTGAGCACATAATGAAATCTAAGGAAGCAATGGAAAAGATGTTAGTAGGAGGAACAATGGGGAGAGAGAGTTTGAAGCCTAAGACGAAGATAGTTTGCACATTGGGACCATCAAGCAGGTCAGTGGAGATGCTAGAGAAGCTTCTCAAGGCAGGGATGAATGTGGCTCGCTTCAATTTTTCTCATGGTTCTCATTCTTACCACCAAGAGACCCTTCACAATCTTAGGACTGCAATGAACAACACAGGCATTCTCTGTGCTGTTATGTTGGATACCAAGGTTACTTTACGACGTTGTACTTATTCCTTTATTTTATCTTGTGTTGTTTGTTCAAATTGTTTACTGTTCTTTCCAAGGTTGCTTCATTCTTCTTCTGGGTATGCACCTTATATTCCAACTCAACCACAAATTCAATGGCAGTAAAAGATGATGAATCTGCAGAGTTTGTCGTCTATTATTATTATTATCATCAAGGTTAAAATGATTCTTATATTTTACTGAATTTTTTATTTTAGTTTTTTTTAAAATAATTTTGGTTCAGCATTTTTATAAATTTTTAGTTTTATCCCTTTTTTTTTTTTTTGGGTTAGAGTACGTTATCCAGAGAGACTTAAAATTAAAATTCCCAAAATTATAAAGATAAAAAAAATTATTTCAAAGAAATAAAAAAATTAATAAAATCTAGAAATCAAAAACACATTTAAAGTTTATTACTATTATTGTTGTTATACGAAAGTATTGTGCAAGAATTCCTCGAATTTTATTTTCATTATGGAAAAAGGCTTCAATTCAGTTTATTGTTTTAAAATGACATTTTTATCAATTCTATTCGTTTTAATAAATGTATAAAGTTTAAATATGATTAATTTCAATAAAAAAAATTATATTTTAAAAGATTAAAAGCATATTTGAACTTAAAAATTACATATACATTACAAAAGAAAAGAGTTAGGATTTTGTATTGTATAAACTACTACATCTCCATTCTCGAAAAAAAGTAAAAGCAAAGTTGAAATCTATGAACTATTCTCTCTGGGGAAACTGTTTAAAGCTAAGTGCTTGATCCTTGATGGCATTGGTGATGGATTTTTTAGAGCTTCACTCTGCCAGTGATATATATATATATATATGGTGCTTATGTTGGAAACATTATTACAGGGTCCAGAGATCAGAACAGGGTTTTTGAAAGAAGGGAAGGCCATACAAATCCATAGAGGACAAGAAATCACAATCACAACTGATTATAGCATAAAAGGTGATGAAAAGATGATCAGTATGAGCTACAAGAAGTTGGCACACCATTTGAATCCAGGAAGCAATGTTCTTTGTGCTGATGGCACAATCAGTTTCACTGTCCTTGAATGTGACAAGGAGAATGGTTTGGTTCGTTGTCGTTGCGAAAATTCGGCTGTTCTTGGAGAAAGGAAGAATGTAAACCTTCCTGGGGTAGTTGTTGATCTTCCAACCCTCACAGAGAAGGACAAGGAGGACATTTTGGATTGGGGGGTTCCTAATAAGATTGATATGATTGCTCTCTCTTTTGTTAGAAAAGGTTCAGACCTTGTACAAGCTAGAGAACTACTTGGAAAGCATGCAAAAAGCATACTTCTCATGTCTAAGGTATCTTTATTGTCAATTTTCTAAATTAAAAAATTGTCATCCTTTCTCCTTTAGAAATGCAAAGTAAATTTAAATGGTTGAATTTGGATTAACTAAGTACTTATATGAATAAAACAAACTCTTCTCATGAGATAAAAGCAACATATGCTTTCTTTCTGTTTTTAACAGTTCTCTTGTTTAACACTTCTATGTTTTTTTAATTTACGCGAGAAGTTTATACATTTTTTATATTAATTTTCTTCTCTTATAAGTACTCATGGAATATCTACCAAAATGTCACCTTATTTTCCCTTTGATTTTGTTTTCAAAATTATTTTTATCATTTCCTATACAAATCTTTGAAAGAAAGAAACAAAGTAACATTAATATTTTTCTAATGAGAATAGAAAGTGAAAACAAAACATGTTTTCTCAAACCTTGTATTAATTAATCGACCACATGGTATTATTTGTTTTCTTGTTAGGTTGAAAATCAAGAGGGCATAGCCAATTTTGATGAAATACTGGCAAATTCAGATGCATTTATGGTGGCAAGAGGAGACTTGGGAATGGAAATTCCCGTTGAAAAGATCTTTCTTGCTCAGAAAGTTATGATACACAAGTCAAATATACAAGGCAAGCCTGTGGTGACTGCAACCCAGATGTTGGAGTCCATGATCAAATCTCCTCGGCCGACACGAGCCGAGGCCACCGATGTTGCCAATGCGGTTCTTGATGGCACAGACTGTGTCATGCTTAGTGGAGAAACTGCTGCAGGAGCCTATGCAGACATTGCTGTTCAAATCATGGCTAGAATATGTTCAGAAGCAGAAAATTTCATAAACTACGGTGAACTGTTCAAGAGAATGATGGAAACAGTTCCAACTCCAATGAGTACTTTAGAGAGTATGGCCTCTGCAGCAGTTAGAACTGCAAATTGCATCAATGCTGCTTTAATCATAGTCCTTACAAGAGGTGGAACCACTGCAAAGTTGGTGGCAAAGTATAGACCAAGCATGCCTATTTTATCTGTGGTAGTTCCTGAGATAACAACAGATTCTTTTGAATGGTTCTGTAGTGAGGAAACCCCTGCAAGGCATAGTCTTATTTACCGGGGTCTAATACCTGTTTTGGGCACAGGTTCTTGTGGAGCTTCTCAAACTGAGTCAACAGAAGAAACCTTAGAGTTTGCTCTTGCATATGCAAAGAAAAATGAGTTGTGCAAGCCTCGAGACTGTATTGTAGCGCTGCATCGAGTTGAATCTGGTACTGTGATCAAGATATTGGATGTTAACTGAAGACATGAGACTTGGACCAACCCCTTGTTTTGAGTTTTGCATTTTTTTAGTTTTGGGCTTGTTTTATTCTTTTACTCGTTCACTTTTTCAAAATATAGCTTTTTGTCCTTTTCTTCACTTGATTGAAGATGAGATCCCATGCGGGAATTAAAGAATAATACTCTAAACTAGTGCCTCTAATTATGAGCAGTCTTTTGTATTACAGAAAAGAAAACTTTATTTCTAACTTGTATAACTTTCAATCAATTAAGTCCTTCAAATTGAAATCGACACAACCAATTAATTTTGTCCCAAACACTACAAAATCAATCAATTCTAGTCTGAATTTGATTTGATGACCATCAATTTGGTCTCTGAATTTAACAAAGCTAGGGATCAATTCGACTGATGTGCACCAAAGTCAAGGATCAAAATGACTGTTTGTTGTTAGAGTCGAGGATCAAATTGATGGACCCTTAATATCAAGGATTGAAATGAACATTTGCTAATTTCAGAAACCTTTTCTTTGGCACCTTTAATTTGATGGTTTACTTGGGAATTAAACATCGGCAGTGGCACCACGCTCATTTTCCTTTTAAATTGGTGAGGAAGAAAAAGAATGCATAAATCTAAGTAGAAAATATTACTAATATTTATTAGTTTTTGCAAACATTAACAAACATGTACATAATTGAATGGTACAAGAAAGTCAGACTGGGAAATCTAAAACATATATACAATTTGGAACAATCATAGTATTGATCAAGGTGAAGGAAGAAAATTATTAAATGACTGCAGCATTGGAAACCAAGTCCTCCTTCCATTTCTTGTTCTCTCTTCTCCAGCTCTAACTAGCTCACTGTTTTGATTGTCCCTATTTCCAATCCTCACATTGGCTTCAACAGTTGAATCATCAGATGGCATCTGAAACCTGCAAACTGGACAAGAACCATGAAGTTTAAGCCATGAGATTATGCAGTCACCATGGAATTTATGCTTACAAGGCATCTCCGTTGCTTCACTTCCAATGTCAACATCCTCCAAACACACTGTACATTGCAATTTTTCCTCACTAGTCACACAAGGCATTGCTTCAATTGCTGCCTTCTGTGCTGGAGGGTTCACACTTGTATATCCACCAGGGCCAATCTGTGCCAAATGTTGCAGCAACAAATCAAAGCCAGATCCTACCACAATGTCATTGAAGGGGCTAACAACATTCTCATTTGGACTAGTTGTGTGGTTCAAGTTAGGACCTCTAACAATCAATGCACCTTCATTGAATGGATCAAGGACAAGTATACTACTACTATCCATGTTCCTAGTGTCTTCAAGGTTCTCAAATTCAGACACCATCCTTACATGAAGACCCCTGAAAAGTTGCATCATGTAAGTTGAGGTGCTTCTCCTTCCACCAAGAACAAGTTCATTATCCCTCTCTTGTTCAACCTCTTCCTCCCCTCTTGAGCTGCTACTCCCCTGTGAAAAAATGCTTGCTACAGAAGGGCTAAAAGCACTCAATAAGCCAAGAAAGATTGGGGCATAAAGTGAGAACACCCAAGCTGACCTTAAATCAATAACATCATTCTGGTCCCTTAGGTTGTCCATTACCTCACAAAATTCTGTCTCACAAAATGGGCACTTGTTCTCAGCATTAGTCATTGGGTGAACCATTTTGGAGCATATGTTGCACCATTGCACAGCCTCCATATCATTCTCCATCTCCTTTTTTTAACATAACTTGTTGTAATTCTTTTTTGTTTTGTTTTGTTTTTTACTCCCTTAGTTCCTCCCTTTTCTTGTTTATCTAAATGGGCAACAGTAATAGTTAATCAATAATAACCACTCAATGAAGGTACCTGGTCTTGTTTTGATTAAGCAGATATCGTAACCTTTTCTAGCTACCGTAAGTTTTTATCCAAAAATCCTGTGACACATAGCAAAGTTGGAGCATCATCCAAGGAACAGAAGAATCTGAAAGAGACATGTTATGCAAAACACGAACAATCTAATTTCCAGTTGTGATAACCCATAAGTTCATAATATAAAGGGAAAAAAACGTAACATCAAATGAAATTTGGTTATCAATCAAAAGTTTGTTCATACCATTTTGACTAGTGGAAGTGGATTAAGAAATAACATCCAATGGTTTAATGCCCTCTTATACCTCTTACAAATGTTCTTTTTTAGTTTTGGTTTGTTTTAGGTAGAGGGTTTACACCAATCGTTTTTTTAATCTCTATTATGGCTCTTTAAGGTTAAATTTGAATTCAGATTTTGCTTGCTTTGCTTTTATTATGCAAAGCTATGTTGTTGATTGGATGGTAAATTTGTAACATACTCTTTTTTAGCTAGAGTATAATAACGTCTAATAAAGTCCATCAACTTTAATTGTGATCACAACTGGTGAATCTGAATTTGGCGTTTTCTAAAGTTGAAAGCGAATTTTGGTGAAAAAAATCATGCACGTGTGTGGCATCCTAATGGTCAGCCTTGATTCCAAGGATTCAGAAAAGATATTTTATAGTTTATATACGATTCTGATTTAACTCCATGTCTTTTAATCTTGGTTTGGTAAATCAAAAGTTTAACGTTATCCCATTAGAATTTTAGGGGGAGTTATCTACCATTCTAATTCGTGAAATTCAACGCTTAACGTAATCTATTAAGATGTGTCATGTGATTCTGAGGTTTTATGTAAAATTTATACGTTCGATGCCTTTAATAACTTGAAACAAAAAATGGTGAAAGAAATATATATATATATATATATATATATATATATAAGCTTGTGAAAATTAAGAAAAGAAAATCATAGATTGAAACAAATGAAATGTATTAAAGATGAAGAAAAAAAGTTATAAGTACAAATTAAGATATCAAAAATAGATGAAAAAATTATTTTAATAACTTTTTAATGATAAACATGGAGTAAATGGAAATATTGAATGATTAGAAACCAAAAAAATGAATTAAATTTGGTATATTATTGCATAATTTAAATTAGAGAAGTAAATAAAATTCTTAGAAGAATGGTAAAACAGTTAGTCTTGATAGTATAATTATTAGTGTTTGAAAATATATGGAATAACAATGAATTAATTGATTTATTAAGCTTTTTAAAGATATTTTGGGATCTAAAAATATGTTAGATGAATGAAAAAGGAAAAATTTAGTCCCTATATAAAAAAATTAAAATTAATTTTATATTAGGAATGTCTACAATAGAGGCTATATACTTTTTATGAAGGTTGATAGAAAAGTACTATTACAAATGAAAAGATGTATGTATGAGTTTTATTGATTTGAAAAAAGACATATAACCATGTATAGAGAGAAATGATGTGAAAGGTTTTAGACAGAAAATGAGTTCATGTAGCATATATTTAGTTAGGTTGTACATGAGAAGATAATTTCATGTGTGAGAACTCCTAGAAGCATATCTAAGAATTTTTTTATAGGAATAAATGTATGTTAAGACTCTCCTTTGAGTCTTTAATTATTTGACCTAGTATTTGATGTGTTTATTAGTGATGTACAAAAAATTATCCCTAAGTACATGTTCTTTGTAAATAAAATAGTCATAGTTATGAAATTAAAAAATGTTAAATCCAAACTTAAGCTTTGGAGGCATGCTTTGAAATCTAAATATTTTTTAAAAAATCTAGTTCTGAATGGAAAAACCTATTTTTGAAAGGTATTTACTCAAGACATTGAAAACGAGAATCTCGTTAAAAGGTATTGTAAATAAATTGAAAGTAAAATCCTTATTAAAAAGTTGCAAGAAAAAACTTCACAAACCTTATGATTATATAATATGTAAATGTTATCACTATCAATAATCATTATATGAATTTAAACTAACTTCTAATAAATTAAAATTTGTAAATATGATAGCTTAATATAAAAGTTATTAATATAATTTTAAAAAAAATTGTCATAATTTTTCAAATTCCATCTTTAGCCTAATATCTATTTTATTATTGAACTTAATTAAACAGTTTCTCTTATCTAGATCTATATTTCTAAACACATTTGATTTCTATACTCACTAATAATATTAGTAAGCAAACAAAAAAAACACTTAAATGTATAGTTATAATATTTAACTATTATGGTCATCATTATTTTCATTATTATTATTATTAGGCCTAAATTACTAAATTTTGTTGCCAAATCTTAAAATAGAGTATGATCAAGCAAGTTAAATTTAGAGTATTTTTTTTATTCTAGAAATTATTAGACAAGATAATAAATTTAGACTAATCCAAATTTCAAACAAACCTCGTAAGATATTTACACTTTGAAATATTTGAACCTTTATAACACTTGGCACAAGCTTGACTTATTTTTATTTTCATTCATATTCTCTTGCTAGTCTAGGGAGATTTAACTATCAAAGGTTATTATCCTTAAATAAAATATTTTATTAAAAATAAAGTCTCAAATTAATTTATTAGATAATAATGGTCATACATATTAGCTTTTTACTTATTTAAATTGTCTTATTAAATGACACATAAATGTTAAAATAACGTCATTTCACACATTTTCTTTACTCTTTCTTTCCTATTTTCAAATCTATTGAGTAATGTGTCAAAAACCCTTTTTGAAATAAAATATAAGTAGATTTTGTAACATCTTCAAATTTTTACTCCAAATTATGACATAAAGTATGACGAAGAAAAAAAATAAGGTAAATTTTTTTATTTTTATGGTTTAAGTAATTGGGAAAGAAGTTAAACTTTCATCAACTATTCAATTTTACAAAAACTTAAAGATATTCAAAATTTTCAAGGGAAGCATTTATAAAATTTAAATTTACCAATAGAATGAAAACTAACATTTTTATTTCCTAAATTTACTTAATTCATGATAGATACGTAAAAATTTGAAACATAAAAGGCATGTTTTCTAGCAGAGTAAATTTCTATAAAATAAATATAATCTATAATTAAAATAGCTAACCATTAGTCTTATCAATATACTTCAAATTAATCTTTATAATCAGACTTGTCAAAGTGTTATAAATTGAAAATAAACATTTAGAATAATTACATAACCTTATTAATTTAAATAAAAGTTTATTAAATAATACAATTCTTCAAGATATTATAAACCCTATAGAGCAGTCCTTCCTTATTAGATCGGTCAATCTTCTTTAATTTTTCTTCAAAATCCATTTCTTGAAAATAGTTAGTAAGGATGAGTATTCTCTGCCCCACTAAATCTCTTATTTAAAAGAAGAATTATACAATATTGAAAATATTCTCTAACGTATTTTTATCATACATTGATTAACAATAACACACAGCTCATACAAATGATTACCACAACAAAGCACATGCAAAAAATCAAGCACATATTGTAATATTCATAACATATATTTCTACACTAATTTGTATATAATATATGTATTATATCACATCAATCGATATGTCACAATATATGTGTCTTAATCACACTCGTCGATATATTATAACACATATCATAACAATATCAATCGATATGTTACAATACATATACTATAATCACACAATTTCTACACTATTTTATATTCATCATACTTTCATAATCAATTGCCCCTAGGATTCCTTGAGGACTTCATAGCATATCTAGTTGCTGGTTAGCCGTTACACACGGAAAAAGTGTGGTTAGGAGTTTAGGTCAGGAAATGAGTGTGAGGCCTATTGTGTTTTTTTTCCTTTATTTTCATTAATTATGCACATTTTAAAGAAAAACACCCATCACCCTTATTTCTCCCAGATTTTCAAAATCACTCGTCTTCCACACCTCTAGTGTGTCTCTATGACTATCTATACTTTTTCTCAGCATTTATCATTTTCTCATTCTTTTTTATAGATTATCATGTCATAATACGTGAGTTATAATTTATATACATCAATGTATTACAATATATGTATTATAACTACTCCCTTCAATGTATTACAATAATCATAATCACTTATTATGATCACACATCTCATAATTTCATGATCATATTACATTATTCACTTTTGTACATAATAATCTTTCTTCATCCAAAAACATTCAAACATTTTTCATCAATAATATAAATCTACCAATTTAAGGCAATGCACACAAGTTAAGGAAATGAAAGAATGCGTAGCACCAGAGTAAAAAAGAACATCAAAGAGTTTGTCTTTCAGAATGCATTTACCTCAGATGAGATCATCAAACTTTGCCACTTCAGAGCCAGTCATGGTAAATACCTTGCCTTGCACATTGGACTTTGATCCATCACTGCTCTTAGGTGCTGGCTTATTACTCCCATTAACATTTCCACTCCTTTAGGGTGCAAACCAATAAGCATTGGTTGGATGCCCCATCTTTCCATAATGACCACATGCAGAAGTTGATTGTGGGCAGTTTTGAATCATGTGGGGTCTCTCGCATTGGAAACACTTTAATGGTTCTCGAGAGACGTTGGAGTTGTAGCTACCACATCTATGAGGTGCAATCCCGCTCGCCTTAGATTGAGTTAGACTTGAGTAAGATTTCTTCTAGAATCTCAGAGGCCTTCTGTCTTGCCTCATTGGTGTCCCAATCCTGTTATCTACAGACTTTCTATAACGCCCTGAATTTTTGTAATATTAATTATTGTATTTATATAAATCTAAATGCATATATGTGTGTGTGTTGACTTACTTGATAATGATGATTATGTATATTAAGTATATGGATGTGTGTATGCATGACTG